GAACTTTCGTGATATGAGAAATTTAATGTCTGTTGTTTTCGGATCGTAAAAAAATGTTGTTTTGGGTACCGAAAAAAGGTCAGCTATCACTTTCGGAAACGCGATAAGACCTAAGGTTTTCGGGGAACGGACAAAAAAGCCTTAATAAATTCGAGAATACCCAAGTTTCCCTAGAATAACCGAACAGATAAAAATTTTTTTAGCGCAACCTAAAATTAACCTACAGAGCTTTAAAAGTACTCCAGATAGCCTAAAACAGCGTTTAAAAGCATTCGAGAGAAAATGGTCGTTGGGTGCCCCTGAGTTTAAATTATTATCACTGAGTTGTCGCAAACCGTATGCGTTCCGGTGAAGCCGCCATTTCGTTCAGTTCAAAACTTCTTCATGTTGCGCGAGATTTCATAACAAAAAGTCTTGGTCCGCGCTTTTTTTCGCCATGCACATTCGCGTAGAAAGGATTCTAAACTTGGCAAGAACTATCAGAGATATGGCTGCGGTAAAGGAGTGTATATCAAATTTAACAGCGCGTGTTGAAAGGTTCAAGAATGTTAGTACTGCTTCCGTACCTGTTTTTCTTGCCAGCGACTTCGCGGAGTATGGAAGTTCGTTAAGACGTGCAAGGCAAGCGCGACAAAATTCCAAGTCACTGATGAACACTTTAGCTCCTCTAAAACCGATTATTTTTCAACCTTCCTTATTTTGTTTTTGGAAAAGAAACTACGCTAAGTTCTTTGAAATGGGTTGGAAGTTCTTTCGAAAGATCTATTGCCTGTTCTTCGTGATATGTAAAAATTGATCGGCAATCTCGGTTTATTTGACGCTTATTATTTAAGCGTCGTTTTCTCCATTTTGTTTTTAATAGTCGTCGTCTGTTTGGTTTCTTATCTGATAACCAATATTTGATTATCACCAAGTTATTGATGTGGAATTTGAAAAGCAGCAATATAATTTTTTAGTTTGGCTGTCTAAAAACATGTCTACCAATCCAACTAATGGACAGAACCAATGGATTATGATCAAGATCATATTTTCTTGACAGAAAACAGAACAGGAAAAGACAAAAACCTTCTCAATTTTTTCTGCTTTTTATTTTCTTTTTGTGTAAGCTGTATATTTTCAACTCATCGTAGAACTATTTTTATAATGGTCATAAGCAGCTCCTCCCACCTTCTTCGTTCCATACCCACTTGAAACACTTACGAGGTCATAAATAACTCTATTGTATGCGCATGTTACTCTAGTGATTAACTTATTATTATTTGCTCAATTCAAACCAATACAGCCGATCAAATTCCAAACACACGGACTCATTTACCGACAGGAATTTTGTTTTTGAAACATGTTTTGGTCTATACTTGGTTTATTCTTTTAATTTTCGCTGTTATAGGAATACGGCATGGAAGCTTCGCTAAACATAACGATAAAATGCACAAAATAGTTCTATAGTGACTCGCCAAATCCTAAATTGAGATCACAATTCCTTAAGCGTGTTCCGACGACATAAAATAAAAGTTCTACAATATTGGGCAAATATATATTGGGAAGAAATGTATTTCTGTTTAAAGGAGCTCATTCGCGGTATTTTGAGTTATTTTGGCCAGGTACAATATTACCTTGAAATTGAGGGAAACCTGAAAATAATAGTTAGCTAAGACAGAAAAACACCAAAGAGATAATAATAAACCGTACAATATTACCTTTAAATTGAAGGAAAGCTGAAAATAGCAGTTTACTGAGACTGAAAAACACTAAAGAGACAATAATAAACCATAAAGAAACAAGGATTTGATTTGATTTGATTTGATTTGATTGGCTGGATTTGAAAATGTTGGAATCTATTGTTTCAGTTCTGTCACCTGATTTGATTGGTTTACATTGTCTGGTTGGCCCCGGTTTCAGTAAACGCGCTGTAAGAATGAAGATTAACACGGATTACAAACGACGAACTTGTAAAATTTAGCGCTAACCGTGACTAAATTAGGATCCAATTTGTATGAGCAATTATATCAATGTTGATTACGAGTTTGTCGAACGACACAGGAGCATGGCGGCTTAAAGATAGAACCAACCCAAGCGAAATGGAGAACATTAATCAAAAGGTGCTACCAATCCGGATGCCATTTAATAAATCCCTTCAAAAAGCATTTATTCTTTTCTGTGGAATTACAATACTGGTCATGTGTGTCTTCTATCTACGAAGAACCACTAGCACTGATGACAGAGGAAGAACACATATCGACGATCGATCATATCTCTGGCAAAACGCAACAAACCCGCTGAACAACTTTTCAAGTAAGCTGGCTGTCGAGAACATGAAACGCCATGGCAAAAAGATTTTTATTGCTTTCAATTACTGGGAACAACTAACAATGGGGACAAACAACTTTTTTGATCTGACAGCCCTTGCTGCATATGGTGGACGACGAGTTGTAGTTCCATTGGTTAATGATTCGAAATTTCATGGTTTACCGACAGAGAAGGGTATTAAAACACTTGAACTGTATTATAACGTGTCAGCGCTCAATCGCACGCTTCGTGCCCGCGGTCATGGCACGCTAATAAGCTGGAAAGAATTTCAAGATGTCTGCCAAGGCAAACTAGACGTGCTGGTGCGAATTGACTACACGAAATTAAAAAAGTCTACAGCATATAATCAAGCCACACGGCCGTTTTTTCCTTGCAACGATAGCCACACTGACACAATATCTACAGATTTCAAGGTAGAAAAAACAATTTGCATGAATGTGTTTGCGGTCGACTCTGTTGAAAAATTTGAGAATGAAGTTGTAGAGAGGCTTCCATGTGTTGGTTTGGATCAATGGAGAGGAAGCAAACGCAGGAATCGATTTAGAGCGCAGTTTCAGTTGTCGCCATTGGTAACAAACCGTCTCGGTTCTCTGCGTGACGCGGCCGTTTTCTTTAATCCGAAACTCCTTCATATTGCGCGAGACTTCATCACAAAACATCTTGGCCCACTCTTTGTGTCCGTCCACGTTCGCGCAGAAAGGATTTTAAGTACTTTTAAAAATATCACTGCGGTCGTGAGGTGTTTATCAAATTTAGTGACGCAAGTTCAAAGTCACAAGAAAGATAGTAAGGCTCATATGCCGGTTTTTCTTGCTGCCGATTTCGCAGACTATGGAAGTTCGTCAAAACAGGTTGAACCTGCTCGAGAAAACGCTGAATCACTCATGAAAATTCTAGCTCCACTAAAACCGGTTATATTTCAGCCTTCGGTCTACAATCTTACTGATCGAGGCACCGTGGCCATTGTGGAAATGAATATTCTGGTGTTAGGAACGCATTTATCTGTAGCTGGAGGGGGGAAATTTCAAGCGTGGATACTTAACCAGTTTGTTAACAAGAACAACATTGACCAAAGGTACAAAGCTAATTGTCGGAGTAAAATGTGTAATTATTTCTGCTATTTATAATTGTATAAGTAGAGAAACACAATCCAATCTTAAACACTGGCACAGTAAGAGGTCAACTTTAGCTAAGATGAACAATGTTATCGTTCAGTTAAGTCCTTGCTGAATTACTTACATCAAAAAGAGAACCAGTTCATTTATACTATCCGCGGATTCTTGTATGTTAATGTGGTAGGGGACTGCTATCTTAACGACAAAGGAAATGAAAAATTACTTGAAAAATAACGGAGTTCGCCGGGCTACTTTTCTGATAAAAGTACAAGAGTACAGAATGGCAATGACTAATTTTGTTGTCTGTTATTGCAAAAATAAATTATGCCATTTCTTTTGACGTAAATAAATGCTTTTTCCAACTTAGTTAAATCGATAACAGCCTAGTTAAAAAGTTAAATAGTAATTCATACAAGCTACAAGAAATCTTTCATTAGAAAGGCAACTTTTTGGGGTAATAAAAAAAAACACTTTTCGATGGTTTTATTTCCAAAACTCAGGTATATAGAAAGTCAAATAAGGTATGAACATTATAGGTAACTGTTATTGATAAGTTAGTAATGATGTTAGAACAACAGTGTCGTGCTGATAATAATAATGATAATGATAATGATCATGGTAATGGTAATGATAATGATAATGATAATGATAATGATATTGATATCGATAATGACAATGATAATGAGAATGAGAATGATAACGTCTCGTATTTCGTGGCTTTTGCTACTCTTATTTCGAATATCGTGTACGTATGTTGTGTTTCACAGTGCTCAATTTGTGTTTGTGCTTACTCGCTTCTAGAATTATATTTATCTGAGAGTCATCAGGAATCCTGTGATATAAATTTGTATCTCCAGATCAATGGTTGGCTTGTATAAGATTGTCTGCTCTGCTCTCCTCAACCGAATGAAAATGTTTGGCCACGATACATGCTTTGCACCTACAGTAAATGTAAGGTTGGATTTCGCCCTTCTCTCCCCTTCCCCCTTCGCACTCCTTTGAACATATCCAGATCCATTGCCGTAAAAGGGCAACGTCACAGTTTGTGCATTTTAAAAAGTGTAGCCTACTATATGCTAAATTGTGCCGGCAAGTGCGCCATTTGTAATCCGTGTCAATCTTGAAAAGTTTAGCCTGAATGTTGAAGTTTTTCGTTTGTAATCCGTGTTAATCTTCTGCATCCTTAACCATCCTTGTTCCTTTATGGTTTGTTATTATTTCTTTGGTGTTTTTCTATCTTTACTTAGTAGACTACCGATTTTCAGGTTTCCTTCCATTTAAAGGTAATTTTGTACGTAGGCAAAATAACTCAAAATAGCGTGACTGGACCCACAGAACAGCAAATTAGAATCCATACATGAGAAAAGCGCTAACCATGCAAGCCAGCCTTACTTAGATAAATAATTGTGAGCGATCACATCATCTACGTTTACTGAAGTCTATAACGAGGTGACTATTGGATATATATTAATATACGTGAAAAAATTACTCGATTCTGATTGGCTGAGAGCAGTGCAGTTCAAGTGTAACACCAGTGCACAAAGTGTAACACCAGTGCAAATTACACATCGTAATTCTGGATTATGATTGGCTGAAAGACAATAGGAAATTTTCTAAGCCAATGATATCACGTAAAATGATGACGAGAATTTTGTGCATAAACTTTGAAAAAAGTTTTCTCGAATGAGAAAAAATGGCTTCAAGAAAGATCTTCCGGCACTTCCTCCGCGCGAATTTTTTCATGTTTATATTATTGAGTAATCATACGGTTTTTCTCGTTCAATTTGGAGTTAATTTGCACTTGTGAGTTTTTCCAAGAGCTTAAATTGCACTCGCCGAAGCGGCTCGCGCGATTTCAGCTTTTTGACAAACTCACTCGTGCAAATTAATTCCAAATTGAACTCGAAACCGTCTGATTACCTATACTAATTGCGATACAATAATTTATGCGGTGCCGTTCAGCACTCTTCGGAAACTTCATTTAAAATCTCTGAAGCTCATAGTCAATACTGAATGATGCTAAACTGAAAGTACCCCTTAGCTAAGGTTTTGTTATGTTAAATCGTGTTCCAGGTTCTAACTCATAAAATGTGATTTCTGCTTGTAAAAGCTGAGTTCGTGCATTCATTGAATGTTACCCCGCCGTAAAAAATTGTCATTAGATGGCTAGCGCCGCAAGCGAATCCGCCAAATCCTGTACTGCGATTGGCTAACCGAGCGGTCTTTCATATTGGGATTACCTTTCTTGTTCCGCAACAAAAAGGTGTTCTTAACTTGTGGCACAAATACATCCTTTATTGGCCAAGCTTGTTATCATTATTTTTTGCGGGATAATGAACACACACAAAAAAAGAGCTTGGCCAAATGCAGCTCTCTCACCCCACAATAGACATAATCAATAATATCCATATGAATTCGACACGCAAACTCGGCGGGGAAACATACTGAACTCTTTTGATATTTTGATTTTCAACATTCTGCTCACAGTCTTATATTACTGATCGAGGAACTGTGACCATTCAATGGAAATGAGTATCTAATATCCTGGTGTCTGGAAAACATTTATTTGCAGTTGAACAACATGCGAGCATATAGTCTCGTAAGCAAGTGGTTAGCTCTATTCTGGCCCGAGAAAACACACTGATTTATTTTAAAATGAGAATCAATTCAAAAGTGGACTGACTCCCTGAGGGCGAAAGGTGCCCTAAGATATCTTTGTTTGAAAGTTAGTCAAGCAGCACGTTTGCAATTGAGCATGAAGATACAAAACAACTTTGCGCTAACAAATGGCTTTACTGAAAGGGATGCCAACGAATAGAAGCCTTCGAGTAGCTTTAATTCTTTTCTGTGGAATTACAGCGGTCATTTTGTTCTTCCAACGAAAGATCATAAAGCACTTCGGAGATAGTGACAAAGACGCTTCATCGTCTCTCTCGCGCAAAGGAATTAATTTCAAGTTCAACACATCACGCATGGAAACTGTTGGCAATTTGCAAAGTGCTGGAAGAAAGATTTTTATTGCTTTTAACTACTGGGAGCAACTAACAGCGGCAACGAATAACTTTCTCGACCTTACAGCCGTTGCTGCGTACGGTGGGCGACAAGTTGTTGTGCCATTTGTAAAGAATTCAAGATTGTATGGCTTCGCGACAAACAAGGGGTTCGAAACACTTGAAATGTATTATAACGTGTCAGCGCTCAATCGCGCGCTTCGTTTACGCGGTCATGGCACGCTAATAAGCTGGAAAGAGTTTCAAGATGTCTGCCAAGGTAAACTGGACGTGGTGGTGCGGTTTGATTACACAAAATTAAGAAAAGCTATAAAATATAATCAAGCTACACAGCCATTTTTTCCTTGCAACACTAGCCACACTGACACAATATCTGCAGGTATCAAGGTTGATAGAACAATTTGCATGAATGTGTTTGCGGTAAAATCAGACGAAAAATTTGAGAATGAAGTTATCGAGAGGCTTCCATGTGTGGGTTTGGATCAATGGAGAGGAAGTAACACAAAAAGATCATATAGAGCACAGTTTAAATTATCACCAAACGTGACAAAGCGTTTGCATTCTGATGAAGCTGCCATTTTCTTCAATTCAAAACTCCTTCATGTTGCGCGAGATTTCATCACAAAAAACCTTGGTCCGCTGTTTATCTCTGTGCACATTCGGGCAGAAAAAATTTTAAAGGACGGACGACATATTGAAAGCATGGCTACGGTAAGGAAGTGTATATCAAGTTTAACAGCGCGTGTTCAAAGTTACAACAATGTTAGTACCGCTCCTGTACCTGTTTTTCTTGCCAGCGATTTCGCAGACTTTGGAAGCTCGTCGCTAGGCGCGAACACTCCGCGAGAAAAATCCGAGTCACTGATGAATATTTTAGCTCCTCTTAAACCGACTGTTTTTCAACCTTCAACTTATAATCTGACTGATCGAGGCACTGTAGCCATTGTGGAAATGAATATTCTGGTGTCTGGGAAGCGTTTGTTTGTAGTTGGAGGAGGAACGTTTCAAAGATGGATAGTCAAGCAATTTCTTCACAACAACAACATTGATCAAAGATCCCAAGTTAAATGTTGGAGTAAAATGTGTAACACCTTCTGTGATTTCTAATTTTTTCATATTAGTGGAGGTACACAATCCAGTTACAGAATGGTTTACTTGGGCCTATATTAGTTAAATCATTAATTGATTAAATCATGTCTTTGTGTGTGGGTTAAAGGAGCTCCAGCATGGTATTTGGAGTTATGTTGACCACGTACAAAATCACCCGGCTTTAAATGGAAGTTAACTTAAAAATTGCAGTTTACTAAGATAGAAAAACACCAATAAACCATGAGGGATCCAGGATGGTAAAGGATACAGAAGATTAACACGGATTACAAACGACGCACTTGAAACATTCAGGCTGAACTTTTCAAGATGCTCAAACAGGACGTAACTCCCATAAGACATAGTTAGGCTCGACTTCTGCCGCTCTCTCGGGTTCGGTTCCCGAAGTTCTTCCCCAGAAAAGACCGAGTAATTGTTTGGGAGAAGGAGCGTGCACTCATTTTATCGAACAGCGGCTGGCAATCGAGTCTGATTGACTGCCCGGTGAAACCTTGCATTGGTCTCGCTAGTATAGACCAGGCAGTTTCGCTTTGCGCTTAGGACATAGAGTTGTGCGCAAATATGTCCAGTTTTTCATGAAGATTAAAGAAGTACAATCCATCATCTAAAGGTACAGTAGTAGTAAAGATTCAGTCCTTTGTACTAGCATCCGCCCCAGAGAAAAAAAATTCGCAATTTGATAACGCAGAAAACACAAAAGAGTTAGTAATGCTAAACCAAACCTGACTTAGCGTTTTCCTTACGTTTCTTAGAGCGATCGAGCAGCAAGCGGCGAGCGGCGAAGCTGCGAGCTTCTCCCCATTCCCTCCTCGTTTCTTTCCCTAATTTGCATAATATTAACTGAGTTCCGCGCGCGGAGGATTTCAGGGACAAGAACCGACTACTCGTAGTCTGATTGATTTCGGACCTCGTCATTGTACAATTACTATACCTCATTGTACTAATCGACTCCGGCAAATTAGGCGAGCTTGGAAGAGCCATAACCATAATATTCAGGGGCGGATCTAGGGTGAGGGTACAGGGGGTGCGCGTCCCTACCCCCATGAGATGACATATTCCCTTTTAAAATTTGTTTACCTCACCAGTCAGTTACGCCTTTCGTTAGTGGTGCACCCTCTCCTAAGAAAAATCCTGGGTCCGCCCTTGATATTTGAGGCGCATTTTGGAGAGACGGTGACGTAACCAAAATATCCAAGGTCGACCTGACGTGTATTGCATCTACATTCGGCCATTAATCCGGTGATATCAGATCAGTGACTTGATATCGCAGGAAATAAGGGCAGTGGAAAGGGCTTCTGATTGGCTAAAAGCCAATTGGGAGAATAAAGAGAGTAATCGTGGTCGTATTTTCGCCTTATTACTCTCTAAATTGTTCTGCACTTACTTCAATTAATTGCTATTTCTAATGATAGTACATTCTACTCAAACGCTGGAGCTTTTGTTGACAACACTTACCATGTGGACTAGCGGGATATAGTGTACAGCGTAATACAAGCCCATTGACAGCGTAATGACGTCAAAGCGCTTGTTTCTGAAGGGTGAAAGCGTTCGTTCACAACATGTGCCTTTTTGCTCAACGCCATTGCTCGCTGACTGTTCCTCCACATTTGGAACACGTCGAATAGTACACACAAGGGGAATGATGACCACCACCAACCCAGCCAGGATCATGAACGTCCGTCTCCAATGGAGCACATTAAGAAGGGCCTCCACGATGGAGCTTATTACGAACAAGCCTCCTCCAGGGCCCATAGCAAGAAGCCCCAATGCAAACGAACGTCTTTTGACGAAGTATGAAGGTATTACCAGATACGTAGGGAAGAATACAAAACATGAACCAAAACCAAAGAAGCCTCCGTACGTTACTAAGATGATGTACATGTTGGATCCTTGTGAGGTCACCAGAAGGGCCCCTGAGCAGATAATGACCCCAATTATGGTCGTTGTACGAGGCCCCACTCGATTGTACACTCTGGCTACAAGCGGACTAAAAAGACCTTGACCAACCAAGGCCAACGACCCAGCTAAAGCTGAGGAAAAGATATCATAGAGGAATGTAAGAGAAATAGTCTTCTTTATAAACTGTATAAACTTTCCAAATTATGCAGTAACGCAGTGTTATCTTTCTTCTTGTTTTCA